GTCAACCTTTTCATGTGCAGATAATTTTAACTTCCTACATCTAACATTTGTTTTGTCATACGCTGATAAAATGTTTTCTCTGTTTTTCCATATTGGTGCAACAGTAGACTTTCCAAGTGCTAATTCCTTACAAATGTCACTCTGTTTTACTCCACTTTTTATTTTGTTAATAATCTCGTACTTTTCATTTGTGAAAAAGCTTTGCGTTTTTGTTTTTCCATTCTAAAACGATTTACGCGACAAAAAACAACAAGTCATTGGCTGTCTCTCGCTCTCACTAATATAAACAACTCCGCACGATTGGTGTTGCTGAGCGTGGAAGTTCGTTATAAACGGAAAGTAAATATAGAACTAACCTAAAAAGTGATCGTTATATCCGGAAGTTCGTTATAAACGGGTTTGTTATAACCAGTAAAAAAATACGTTGGTCTTTATGGACGACGTTTCAATTAAAGGAAAATAGTTCGTTTTAACCGCAAGTTCACTATAATCGGGTTTATTATAAGCGGACTTTACTGTATTTCATATACAATATCCTGCAGCCAAGTCTAACCGTTTTTGGTGTATTTGGAATTTTATGTATAAAATGACAGTTGCAGCCACTCGAATAATTATTCATTTTTTCTATAAGGGAATTTGTCATACTTAATTTGAGTCGCTTTTATTGTTGAAAAGGACTTACTTTAATGGAATTTCGACAAAATTTTGAAAACTATTAATACCAAGTCTTAAAAAATAAGTTTCAAAATACAGTTGAAAAAACCGCCCAAAATCAATTTTTTCAAATGGAAACCCCCATTGCTGATAATTTTTGCATATTCAGTATTAAAAATAAGTGTTAGTTTGTCTAACGATGTCTATTCCAAAAGTGTTGAGTTTTCGAAATATTGCGAATTTAATGTTTTCATATGGCTATTTTGCAGCATCTTCTTTTAAATCCTGTCACTCTTAGTTGCCATGACGAAAGTGGCCATTTTTAATACAATAATATGCCAAAGGAATGCTGACAGCTGTCAGTTACCTATTGACATCATACCTATCATACAAACGAAGATTATTTAATCTTATTTATTATTTATGAAGAATGTGATAAAGCTGTATGAAGAACATGTGACACATTTGCCCTTCGATATACACATAAACAGAAGCCTTCATGCTGTACTGTTAAACAAATTATAGAAAAATTCAAGAATTTTGAACACGTCGTAATACCAGTGATTGATATAATAATAATTAATGATACATAAACGGTTCTTGATATAACTTTATCACATTCTTCATACATAATAAATAAGTTTAATAAGGTAACTGACAGCTGTCAGCATTCCTTCGGCATTTGATTGTATTAAAAATGGCCACTTTCGTCTTGGCTAAGTCCTTGTCAACAATAAATGCGACTCAAATTAAGTATGACAAATTTCCTTATAGGAAAAATGAATAATTATTCGAGTGTAGGAAGTAGTAGTAGAGCGACACCCTGTATAGAAAAATTGTCTGAGGAGCTTAATTTTAAACAGAACATTGACTAACATGAAACAAATGGGGCTCAATAGCGCATCAAACAGAAACCAAGTCGCTCTAACCATTCAGAATTTGTCCAGTTCCAAACTTTGTTGAGAAGTTTATTTTTGATTGCCAGAAAGACCTAAACCGTCCATCTCAAATAAGGCAACAAAAGTCTGCATTTCATGCGGGTTAAAGTGTAAAAATCAGTTCGCCTGATAAAACTGCTCTAAACATCTACCTTCCACATCCACATGGGAACTCAACCGAATAAAACCGTTAATTGCTCCTAAACTGACCGACAATACTTCATTGTGGCCGATGATGGAAACCTCAATAGCCCACTTGTCAAATTTAATTAAAATCCCACAAATCGGGCAAAAATCGAGCGAGTCCCCTTCTTGAGCGAGCCCCAAAAAGAAAAACGTTTTAGAGCGCATTTAGGTAAAGTGCGTCCATCCCCCGAACGTGAAACGACAAAGAGCGGTCTTTTGACAAAACGCCCCAAATTTAAATGCTTCTTAAGTCAAACAAAAAAGTTGAATGGCAACTGGGAGGACGGCAAATTAAAACCGAATCGACAGGTCTGGTAATGAATGGGAAAAAGCGGAATTTCTCAACAGCGGGAAGACTCGACGTGCAGTCCCTGATTACGGCCTCCGTTACAATAATTGCACGTTGGTTCACACGTTA